TAGGTACGGATGACAAAAAGTGCACACCATTAAACAGAGTTTGACTTCAGATGGAACCGTATAAATTAAACTTCAGTCTCCAGGCCTACAACATAGAAAACCAGCAGAGAAACAAAGATAAAGAGAACACAATATATCACCACAACTCTGAACAATCAAGAGGATTGTTTAAAAAAAATAGCCAAAGTTCCCTCTTTGTATCCCCTTACATTTTGAAACAATATAGCAGACTGCAGTAAATGCCAAACTTCTGCGAAAAAGAGGTTGTATAGTATCACTAGAGGTGATTCTGACATCAATGTATATCTAAAAAACGCTGTTTCACAGCATAATTCTTTCCCCACATGAATAAATTTACTTAAATTAAATGTTGTACTTCTTTTTCTGTTAAAATGAAATTCATTTTAAGACTTTTTTATACTTCTACACCAGGAGAGCTCATAAATATAGAGGTGTGTATGTGGTTTCTAAGGAGTCAGTGTGTGCTGTAATTTCTTTATAGTCAAGTGAGCCTGAGCTCACTGAGCGCACAGATTCCCGTCCTCAGAGACTGAGGTAAAATAAGAATTTCTTCTATTTTCTCCACAATTTCCTTCTATTTATGCATGCCAATTATAATGTGCTTTCTGTAGTGTTTAGTTTGTTTGTCAGAAACCAACCAACTGAAGAAGAAATGAAATACAGTTATCTGGAAAATCCACCTTGTATGAAATTCTGTTTTATAATATATTTCTTCTGTAATCTCTGTTTATTGCTAAAACAGGTTCCACCTTTCAGAACCTTCTCTCATGCTTAGATAACAGCCTTTTCTAATTTAGACAACTAAATTGCAATATTAACTGATATTTACAGATTTTCTTTATATGTTTATGTATAACAGTTTGTTACATATAATAATATCTAAGACAAGAACAATTACACACCCAGCCACATTCTACCACTCAACCGCACATACACAATTGATATGAAAGTGTACAGAGGTACACATTAGCCTTGATAAGACAGGGCTCTTCAAATGCAATAAACATCTTGACCCTGAAAACCCTCCGATGGATGAATGTCAGCTCCTCAGAGACAGAGAGACACCATTTAACCGGCTGTTTCAATGCATAATTCACATTAACACATTGCATTGGAACATGTGACTTGCTTTTCCAATCCGACTAAATGTTTCATTATCCTCTTTTATATTTAATGTTCATCCAGGCAACGTTGTTGTACTCTCATTAAAAATACTAATACTGACATAAACAAGTTTTTATTCCTCTAAAGGGCCTCCTTATTTATTTCACAAAGTTTACTCCTCTAACTTCTTTTACAGTATACTCCTAGTTCTATGAAAACTGCTTCATTGTAGTCCTTTGACTATGCCACTGCAATTATATATTATTTGAGTCTTGGAAACCTTCATCTTTCTTCATATGCAGTATATGGCAGCTTTTCTTTGCTGTTTATTTCCTTTGACCTTTTCTTTTTCTCAACACATTCAACTTTGTGAAAGTGTAGATCTATCTGATTTCCTCTGACACATTTCTTATGCTATCTTTACTTTTTAGTCCAAGAATTGCTTAATTGTCTTTTGAAATTCCCCAATCTGGGTTTAGTGTTTTATCTTTTTCAAAGCTTAAAAACTATGTATTTTCTCCTTAGGTTTTTAGTTGGTAATACTTGTGATTAAGGTTGTAAGAAAATATAAACTTCTTATAGTGTATGTTAATAATTTTGGTCCTTTGTGTGCACTAGGAGCTGATTCTTGATGCAGAGGACACATGGATTCGACTGGAGGGATTGGCGGAGAGCACAGAGTACACAGTTAAGCTCCAAGCTGCTAGAGGCCTTGATACCAGTGCAGTGGTCTCCACCACCTTTACTACAGGTACAGGATTTACTTCCCTATGTCTGCTTTCTTTGTACCTGTGTAGGGGAAGTAAAAGATATTCTTAACTAAATGTATTTGAAGTAAGAGAGCAGAGGTACCCAATACTCAGTCCTCAAAAAAAGAAACAGATTTTCATCTTCTGATCATTACCTTACAATGCTGCATGTAGAGTGAGTGTATATAGCTGAAATTGCAAATAATTATTCTGACAAAAGTGAATATCATTTTCGACTGCTTATAGGCCTTTCACAAATGTGCAATGCATACAGCCATGGTAAATAAGTATTACATTACAAGCCTATAATTTTGAAAATGGCCATAGTGAATTCAATCCAGTTTGATGCAGTTATATAGCGGCAGTTCACAACACATCATCTTAAGGCACTTTACAGAGACAATTCAACCATGCCATACAGTCAGATTGATAATGAGTTTTTCTTATAAGGAAAACCAGCTGAATGCATTGGGTCATTAACTTGTAGGACACACTCCTGCTGGATGAACATGGGGGACAATAGATACTGGCTGATATTGCATCAATGACTCCACAGTAGTTCCTCCCACTGAGCAAGCATGCAGTGACATTGAAGAGGAAAAACTCCCTTTAACAAAAAGAAACTTCAAGAAGAACCAAGGTTAAGTGTGTTTAGTGTTTTGCTGAGGCATAGTCAGGGTTCAAAGAGAGAGAAGCAGACATACTAGAGGAACATAGAAACACTAATCCATAAATTATTACTATGTTAGAATATGTAATGTTAAACTATCTCTACAATTGCCTCTGTCTAGGAAAGAAACAGTTATGCAGACAAGGTCTGAGTCAGTTTTAATGCCAAAGGGCACTTAGTCACAGGGAAAGCTCAGCCCAAATAGCTAACATTTCTCTCCAGCAGTAGCAATTTTTCATTGAATACTATGGGTGCTAAACCTCACCTGTAAATTTCATAAAATGATTGGTGAAATATGCATTGTCAAATTTCATAAATATTATATAATTATACTAGATTAAATATGCACTAAAATACACCTGATTTCATGACAAATCCCTGTTGAGGTTTGAGCCTAAGGCCATTGAGGTAAGCAGCGAGAAAGTAGAGCCCTGATTGAATAAAATACGTCACTCCCAGTTAGGGTAAATATGTAAGGGGTCTATACAGCAGGGGATGGTCATGAAGCTGCCTGCTTGATGCTAATTGGCTAAAGGACTTTTGACTGACAGCAGCCAGACAGTGAGGAGGTTTTCCTAATGTAATGTGTCTTATGTGTTTTAACATTTATTTATGTAATAAGTGACATTATCACCTAAGAGATTTTTTAAGCCCAGCTTTAAAAGTAGACAGGGTGTCTTCCTCGTGAATGAAAGGGGTAGCTGGTTCCACAGGAAAGGAACCTGTTACCTATTCTACTTTTAGAAATTCTAGGAGCAATAAGTAACCTGTAGGTTAAGAGTAAGGTTAGGAACATCAGAAATAATCAGATTTCTTACTTGGTTGGAACGGAATCTAATTTCCTAATTGAAGGCTTTGTTGAAGCTAATAATTATGCAGTGAAAGCTTAACTGGATCAAAACAGTCCAGAAACAGTTCAGGTTCTATTGTTACCTCAGATGCTGCCTCACCTTTGAAAGATGAAACAATTATACTTAGAGAGGTGCCGATAATCTTATTTTTAACAGAATAAATCCATTTATAAAATAATCCATAAATCATTACTGCTAAGAGCAAGAAGAGGGTCTGGTTAACAGACTTATGGCATTGTGTGAGCTTGGCAGCTGTGTTAAAATGAATCATGGATTATTTTTTTTCTACTTTATTAATAAAGAATAATTTTCTGCTTTTGTTTTGCAAAGTATTCCTTATTATTATTCACATTTTTTATTGAATTGATGTAATCAAATTGGAAGAAAAAACCTACAACAGTTGCCTTACGAAGATATTTGATTTTACATTTCATACTTGGAATGTTAAGACAAGTTTGGATTTTAAAAAGCAATAAAACTAAAAAAATATCCTTGTGTAGAGGTGCTCACACTGTACCTCCATTGATGACTGTATAATAAAGTACCATTATTTAAAAGTAGATTCCACGTCCTATGACCATTGGAAGCAATAAAAGTGTACTTTTGTTGTCACTTTTAATGTATTTAGGAAAAAAACCACTCAGCATTGAAAAAAATGGAATAGTTCAATTTTAATTTTTCTTTTTCTTTTTTTTTTGGTGAAGAAAATATAGCCTCTATTTTGCTCTGTTTTTTCGAGGGATAAATTGTTAGGCCTGAAATGTGCGTCACATATTTATCATTAGAGCGATTCGACTTTTTAAAATTTCATTATTAGCGACAAGTTTACCCCAAATGTTTATTTTAACATAAACCATTACTTTCAGGCCCAGTAGATATTTTTCAAATTTTGAAAAACTTTTGATGTTGGAAGAAAGCTAAAAACACACAAATAACAGATATATTTGTAACCAGTGTTGCGCCAATGCCATTTTTTGGCCCCCGATACCTGGCTGTGCAGTATTGGCCAATACTGATACCATCTGTTTGAAATTGATGTGTGTGTGTGTATATATGAAGAACTGAATACTACTTGGATGTAAAATAATTGCCATCATGTCTTTGTCCAGCTGCTGCCTACCTTTGTGAAGCAGGAAAAAGACTAATACAAAGTGAATCCAGTAGAACTTTTTATTGCCTACCTGGAATAGGTGACAACAGTTGAATAAACTTTTTGCTCTCAAAATGGTATTGATGCCCTATTTCTTGGTACTTGCCGATATCGATACCATCATTTTAGTGCTGGATTGGGGCCCCGCCCGATACTGCTATCGGTGCAAAACTATTTGTAAAAACTACTGAACTGAATTCACTAACTTTTTTTGTTCCCTTCTCAATCGCTCTACTTTCATTGTCGGCGTACCGCCAAACATTATGCAGAGATTTGGTTCTACTGGTGCTGTTGTTGAATTGGGAGATGCTGTGGAGGCATTGCAGAGACAAGGGTGGAACAGAATGGAGAAATACCTGCTTTGAGTTTCACGCTTCGCACATCTCCACTGTCTCCACTGAGTTGATTCCCATGGTGCTTCATCTACATTCCCTGGCAGTGGTTTTAGCCATGCAGTAGTGATGGGTCCACTAACCCCGATGTGTCGGTGCATGCGTTGAGCCCATAGATCAAAAGACTGTATTGGTGCGCGTGTTGTTTCAAGAAAGTCATGTGACCGATACAGGAGCTGTTTCTAACTGACTGACTCACCAAACTTGGTTTAAAAACGTATCTGTCAACATGATGCATTTGCTAAAAAAAACGTCTCATCTTTTGCGGTTTATCAATAAAATGATCAAGAATTTTGGAGCAGCCTAAAAGGAATAGGAACGTTTCAGCTTATACGTTTTTCTTTTAATTTTCTCGCTGTATCGTACTTTTCCTCTCCGTTATTTCTCAACTTATCTGAATTAAAGTTAATTTCAAATCGACTCTTAGTTTATTTACTGTTTTTACAGTACTTATTGTTTTAAAATTAGGATTTAAAATCCTAATCTACAAGCATTTACATTATGTATTGGCTGTATCTAAAAATATCAAGGATATTTTTAATTTAAATATAGATATGAAATAATACAATATAACCTACAATAACTTTAATTATATCATTCTACTAGGTCATCCAATCAATTCCTCTATTAAATAAGCTGCCTGTAGTGTCTTTAAATGTCCAGCAGGTGTCACTGTTCTGTGAGATAGTATCAACACAGCATCAATACAGTTTGGCAATATGTGAAATGCTTCAAGATTACCCCATTAACCCATCACTACCATGCAAAAAACTGTTGGATGGTTGGCCTATTTTTTGTAGAATTTAAAGGGGAACGCCGTTTTTTTTTTTTTTTCTTTTACATTGGTCGATTGGTCGGTTTAAAGGTTATTACATCGTGTTCTACTCACCCATATGAGTTTTGTGTCATTTGGAGCTGTTCTGAAGATATTCCATTATATCCAAGTAACGTATTCCTTTGGGCAAATGAGTTCAAGGCACAAACTAAACAGTTCATAATTTATTTTTTATGGTACGCCAGCATTCATAACATGTAGGCGAATCACTGTCTCCCTTGGTGTTAGTGGCACATCACCCATAGTTCTGGCCACATAATCGCTTTTTTGGGTTCCGCTATCGGGACGGAACCAATAATGGTTACAGCGAGGGGTTCGGTAAATGTATGAAAAATATTGTCAATTATTTTAATCTTTGTCATGGATCACAAAAATAAAATCCTATTTATGATGTGCAAACAATTGTAAGACCTAAGAAAGACTGATTTAAGACATTTTAATGGCAATTAAGGCCTTGAATTTATATTGAAGAATTCAATGGCTTTTAAGACTTTTTAAGGATCTGTAGGAACTCTGTGTATGGACTGCACAGGGAAGTTTAAATTCAATGAAAAATAGCCTATCCATCCAACAGTTTTCTGCATGGTAGTGATGTAGTGGTTAATGAGCGGTTTTCAATTCAAAGACTCCAGTTCGCTCCGACTTTATTTAAATTCATGTTTGACTTAAAACCTAGACCAATGCCTATGCTGTAGTCTGTACCTATAATCTGTTACAGTCTATGTTTCAACTTTACCATGGAATCACCTAGACGAGGATTGCATATCATAAAAACATTTACTAACTATACTCAACAATACAGAGTGGGTTTACATGAAGTGATCATTGTGGTAAGAGCCTGTTTTTGAAAATGGATCGCATACATGCATAATACGCTATTATCTCATTTGCAATGGGATGCGAAGTGACCTTTTTTAATGTAGTCTGGTAACATAAATTGATAATTAGATTGTAAACACGGGACAACATGAATGGAGCAAGGTGTTATGTTCATAGCCAGTTAAATAAGACAATACACATCAG